TTGGATGTTTGAGTATAGTATCCTTGTTGTTGTTGTTAAGTATAATCACTATGTTGAAAAAATTTAAACATTAAATAAATAATTAGTTTTATTAAAAGTAAATAATAATCCACCCTTAATAATACTAATGAAACATAACCAAAATACTCCTATATTGAAGATACTATACAATGAACTTTAATCATTCATAACCATTATACGGAATAAAGACGTGAATATCGACTAGAATGATACTTTGGTTCATCAGTTCTATGGTTTGATTATCTTCAGCAATAATTTAAAGATGGTTGTGTATATACAAGCACATATACATATACATACAATGCATGTATATATGTGTATATGGATGAATGAGCACACTATTTTAGTTACTAAGCCTTATTGATTCAAAGTGTTAGTGTAAGTTGTTACATTTATACACTAACAAATTTAGAAAATAAAAATTAAAACAAACAATGTATGTTTGTTTATGTGGAGTACAAAAATTTTACATTTGAATACTATTTTTAGTAATTAACCATTTTTTTTTAAAAATCAAAATCATCAACCAGTAATTTGATTTCTTCAGATTAATCTTGTACTCATTTAAACACGTTGATAGTGGTAAAAAGCCGGTAATGCTCTAACATTACAAGGTTAAGATGAAGATAATTCAGTCAGTCAGTCAGTCAGTCAGTCAGTCACAACGTAGAACTTTGTACGTATGTACATCAGTTCGAGTTGCCATACCACTTTAGCAAAGAGATGCAATTGTCCATTCAAATCCCATAATGGTAGAAGTAGTAAGAGTATATGCAGTAATCCGAAAGATTAGGGTTTGAAGATGTTATTCAAGGAGTATAATACAGTGAAAAAAAATTTGGAAAGAGAAAAAAAATATAGGGATATGGGGAATTCAGAAGATTAGAATTTGGTAGAACACAAAGAGTGGATGCACCTACGCCATTTCAAACGATTTTGAGCCATGTCATTCAAGGTCTCTAACCATCGACTGCCATCATCTCGCGGATCCCAACCAGGTAGTCTACACCTACCAGCATGACTCGGCCCACTTGGCAGCAACTTCATGCACTTGAGCCACTTTTTGGTCTGACTGACCCTAGCTTTCTTCCAACCTACTCCTACACCATAAAGCATTTCACGTCTGGGTAGTCGGTGGTTGGACATACGTGACACGTGTCCCAGCCATCTCAACTGATGAATTTTCAATACTTCATCAATCGATTTGCCATCCTTACCTAGTACTCGTTTCCTAATAACTGCATTACTTATTCGGTGGTCCCAGGACATACAAACAATGCTTCGAAGACACCTATAATCGAATACTAGTAGCCTACGAATATCCTCTACTCTTATCGGCCATGTTTCACTGCCATAAAGTAGGACGGAACGAACTGTTGCGCAGTAAACCCTTCCTTTGATTGGTAGTCGGTTATCTCGCCTACGACATAAATGACGCAAGTTGGCGAAAGCTAGACGAGCCTTCTGTTTCCGTGCTGAGATTTCGTCATACACCAGACCACAAGGTCTGATGAGATTCCTAAGATAAATTTAGCAGTAAACAGGCCCAACTACTTCAGCTGGAAAGTTGTTAAATATTAATATTCGACATTTAGACTATCTTGTATATCTGTCCAGTGAAGTATTAGCTGTACTTTGTTTATTTAAATTCCCTGACATTAGGTTTGTTCTTCATAAGAAGTCAGAAAACTACAGTATATTTTATTTTTAAACTAGCAGTCTACGCAGTGAGCTATATGCAGGTTCCCTTCCAAAAACTGAATATGATGACTTACATATGTTTATGGACAAAACAATACGTAATACGGGTAAGGATATAGTACTAACTTCTAATCACAGATTCTCAAATGCCTTAGAGATAAAATGCCTCAGCAAGCTAATACGAAAAAAAAAACTTATATTTTTCAATCCACAAAACATCAATATAGTTTCTCTCACTTAGATATGTCCCATGCATTTTATATGAGAGCTAACAGAGATAAACGGTTGGTACTACTCTATTAGGCGAAATAATTTTAAATTTGCACCCTAGTACTCGAAAGTAGCTGATTGACTGCCGCACACAGACCGGAAAAATCCGCTAATTAATACAGTCAGTCAAAAAAAAGAAGGACACCAATTAATAACGATTTGAGCAGAAAACAGAAGAAATGCACTGATCCAGACCAATGGAATGAATAGGAAGTATATTTATACGAACGAATGCATGCGGCAGTAATCGATTCTAAACATATCATAAATGTAAGCAAAGATGGTTAGTGGCTAACAGTGGAATCCAGGACGTACGCCACTTCGTCCTATTTGGGACTCGCCAACTAAATGCACCCTACATCTCAGAGCTGATGTTCACTCTGAGACTCAAACCCAGTACCGTTCGCTTCAAACGCCATCGCATTATCCACACCATAAACAAGTATATGATGATTCTTTTCTTTTAGTGTATGTACTCAATTTAAAAACTTTTATTATCAGAAGGGGTTTTTTGTGGAGATTTAGTATTTTCATAGTTGGAAGAGTGAGTCAATTGAAACTAGACCACCAGGGAATACCTGGAAACACTGGACGGCCGTTTCGTCTCATTGTGGGACTCTTCAGAAGTGCGCATCCACGACCTCGCCTCACAAGATTCGAACCCAGGGCCTACCAGTCTCACGCCAGAGCACTTAACCTATAGACCACAATAGGACGAAACGACTGTCCAGTACTTCCAGGTTTTCCCTGGTGACTCACACTTTCAACCATAAAAACTTTTAGTCCAATCCTAGAAAGTATGTTATATATACATAAAAGTGATCAGGTATTCTATTATTCACAATGTTAAGTCAATTAATTTTCATTTTACAAAAGAACAAGGCTAATCAATAACAAGTTTGTTTACAGCTTCATATCTTTAACTCTATGATGGATTTTAAAATTACGGTAATGGAAAGAGATAGCCTTGACCTAATGATTGAAAATCATTATCTACAAATCTTAATGACATAATATAGAATCTGGTTTCTAAATTTGAAGAAATTGACACGTTAACAATAGTTTAAAATTCTATGGTTGAAATCATGAGTCAAATGAAGTTAGACAACCATGGAAAACCTGGAAGTACTGGACGAACATTTCGTCGTATTGTGGGACTCTTTAACAGTGCTCATCCATGATCTCGCCTCACAAGATTAGAACTCAGCACCTACCAGTCTCGTGCCAGAGCACTTAACCGATAGATCACCGAGCTGGCCGGCATCCAACGGTGTTAATGTCGAACTTCAACTGATCCACGAAGTTGAGCAACCGTTCAACAATTGTCTTCAGTGAGTTGATATCTCACAACAGAGGTGGTTTGAACTCCACTGGTCACTGCTTCTCACTAGAACTCCTGGATTTACCTGTCAAAATCAGTCACTAGTGAGCATATGATTATTATTATTATCAGAAGGGGTTTCGTGGAGATTTAGTATTTTCATAGTTGAAAGCGTGAGTCAATTGAAGCTAGACCGCCAGGGAATACCTGAAAACACTGGACGGCCGTCTCGTCGTATTGTGGGACTCTTTAACAGTGCTCATCCACGATCTCGCCTCACGAGATTAGAACTCAGGACCTATCAGTTTCAAGCGCTAGCGCTTAAGCTCTAGAACCACTGAGGCGGCCGACATCCAACGGTGTTAATGTTTAACTTCAACTAATCCACTAAATTGAACAACCGTCCACCATAATTTTAAAAAAATGCTCTCTTAAAGTATTTCCATTCATGTGTATGTGTAATTGAATACTCAAGTGAAGCATGTCAACTGACACATTCATATATGTCCATATTCATTCAGTTTATGATTCAGAAATTGTTTAGATACATCTACTTACACAAATAACAACAGCAATACAAGTAAATAAGTTGATTTATCCATACCACCACTAATAAATTCCTTGAACAAGTAGTACAGGTGATCGATTAGGTTTGAATGGTTTTCCCATTAGGATATTAATAATAATTTTTTTTCAAAACATTGATGGCTAACATGGATTTTGTAGAACTGTAGGTTTGGTGAGATTATAATTTATGGACGACCTTTGAGGGACGCTAATGTGACCACGAGAATGTCCACCTAATTACTAGGACTAAATCATGGTTATAAACCAATGTGAAGAATTAGATTAATGATTAACAGTTGATGGCTTCGATTAGGAATTAGATTTAGGGTTTTCATCACCAACTGATATCAACTAAAAATGCCAAAACCCTATTTAAACAATTGGATGAACGCATTTCACTCCAAAATCCAAGATCTGTTATCCTCAATCTGATTGGTTCGTTCATAAATTGTAGGCTCATTGCAGGTCTTTATTCTAGGTAATTGACTGTCAGCCAGTCCATCAGGATTTTACCAACCAAAATATGATCATATACATAGTGTTATTAGTATCCGTGCAATATTTTATATCTCCATGGAAATGTATGACGCTACACAGGATTAGTGATTTCAACTATTTAAGAGTCGAAAGCGAAGCATCACTTTGAAATAATAACTACAAAGTCGTTGTTGTTTTTAGAGTTTTGAGATTGGTGGTTTGATTGAAGTTAGACATTAACACTGTTGGATTCAGACTCCGTAATCTGGAGTTTAAGCGTTCGTGCGCGAGACCCTAGGTCCTTGGTTCGATTTTCGCGTCCGAGATTGTAGATGTCAACACTGGAGTAGTCCAAAAATAAAACCGATCTCCAGTGCTTCCAGGTTCCTAATGGTTGTCTAATATTGATTGATACATTATTTCAATAAAATCCATCAATCTCCACAACCCCGTACTGAAAACAATCTACATTTCTGTACAATATTAATCATTTTTATAAATAAACTTAGAGACAACGTCAACGAAATTCACCCGCAGATAGAATAAATTCATACTATTATTATCATCAATTAACATGAATATTAAAAGGTGCAGTGAGTACAAAACTATTGAATGTATGATCTATAAGATAAGTATAACTTACTTCCGGGCATAAGACGAGGTTTAGCTCCAAGTACTGCTAAGTTCACATTGGCTTTGCGACCATCAATACATGGATTAGGATCACGAATAGCAAGTAATGCATCTTCAGTGCGAGTCATAGTTACCTATTTTTAAAAGTAAGAAATGTATATATATATACTGTTTTATGCATAGTAAATATTTAAACATATAAACATTCGTACAAGAAGGTACCAAATATATATATGCACCGCACAATCATTCGATTTGTTTAAAGGCTGGAATACTACCCCAGTGCCCAAACGGAATCAGGTGGTTTTCTTAGGAAGCCAAACGCCGAGCCTTTGACCTAGAGGTCTAATCCATAAGGCAGTGGAACAACGTTAGCTGATGTAGTCTCATGGTAGCCGGTGACCAATAATAGGTCCATACACCATTTGCTCCCACAGGATCTTTGAGCCTATATGTACCACTGGTTAGTAATTAAGGTTTTTCAAACTCCACTAGTTGGATCTTTCATATTCACAAATCCGGTTAAAGCGACGAACATTAGCTCTCAATTTCATTAAAGAACATTCCTACCACGAGAAGACTGTGAGTAGGACTTCCCTGTCGGTAGCTATATACTCTTGACCATGAGAGAGCATTCGCAGAGGGAGAGCAGATTCTCCTTATCCTCGGTCGTACCAGAGCATTTGCTGTTATATAATTATAGGTTAATTTAATCAGCTACGAGTTGTACTAACAGTGTAATGGTTTGTAATGCTACCTTCCAACAGACAAAAATGAAGTTTATGTAAGTCACAATTCTTTTATTGAATAGAGATTAAGAGATATGAAGTTAAGAGGTTATATCTACTCAACCGTTGGATGCCGGCTCAGTGGTCTATCGGTTAAGTGCTCTGCCGCGAGATTGGTAGGTGGTGAGTTCAAATCTCGCGAGTGCAGGATCATGGATGCGCACTGCCACTGAGGAGTCCCATAATAGGACGAAACGGCCATCAAGTATTTCCAGGTTTTCCATAATGGTCTAACTTCAACTGGCTCATGATTTCAACTATGGAAATACTGAAATCTCCACAAAACCCCTTCTACTCAACTGAATATTTCAAATTAAAATCTCATTTACCAGATTGTAATCAGAAATGATACATGTTACACTTTATAAATCAATCAACTGAAATACAATTACATCAATGAACCTATAGAGATATAACTAACTAATGCTTACTGAACTTATTTCATCAATAAAGTCAATCCTCAGAATGCTAACCAGCTTCCAGGTGAAGAGGAAATTAGGAAAAGACGTTGGAAGTGGTGGATAGGACATACATTAAGGAAATCACCAATGTGCATTACAAGGCAATCCCTAACTTGGAATGGTGAAGGGGTGCGGAAAAGAGGAAGGCCAAAGAACACATTACGTCGGGAAATAGAATCAGATATGAAAAGAATGAATGTTAACTGGAAAGAACTAGAAAGTAAGGCTCAAGACAGAGTTGGATGGAGAATGCTGGTAGTCGGCCTATGCTCCTCGACGAGGGGTAACAGGCGTAAGTAAGTAAGTAAATAAGTCAGAATGCTAACCATAAATATAACTACCCTAGCTAGTAATGTATGACTTCATGTTTAGTTGGAAACATGCTAAACAGTTGACAGAAAAATGTTTTGGTTCCTTATTATTTAGTTTGTTTGTTTTTTCAAAAAAAAATTCTTTTTGTTGTTCTTATTTTCATTGTCTTTACTTAAAAAGTACACGAACAAGACACATGTAAGACGAAACCAAAGAAACTAATACACTTTGTATTTTAGCCTCGTATATATAGGTGTATACACAATGTATTCAAGGTGAATTTAAGCGGGGGTGGTGGCGGAGGAGAAATACCATAGTACTTCACGTTATAACAGGCGTTAACAACATAGAATAGTATAGTGACTTGTGCATACCAGTAACGTGAATGAGTAGTGAAAGTGAAAGACGGTTGTTGTTGTTGTTCTTCTTCTTTTTCACTTACTGTTGTTTTATTGTCATCTTAAAAAAGTATGTGCTTGTTTGTTGTGTACATTTTAAGGTTAACAAAATAATAGAACTTTCCAAGTAACTTGTAAATGTTCACTTCAAAGACTAAGGTATAAATATGTTCAAAGAAAAACTCATTTATGCTACATAATGTAGAAGAAAAGCGCTCTAGAATAAACGAAATAGTAGTGATAAGTGAAGCAAAGAAATGATCTAGACAAACGAAATTTTCATAGTTAAAAATCATGAGTCCATTGAAGGTAGACCAGCATGGGAAACCTGGAAGCACTGGACAGCTGTTCCGTCCTATTGTAGGACTCTTCAACAGTGCGAATCCACAATCCCACCTTGTGAGATACGAACACAGGACCTATCAGTCTCGTGTACGAGCGCTTAACCTCTAGACCACTGAGGTGGCCGGCATCCAACAGTGTTGATATCTAACTTCAGCCATTCACTTCAACTATGAAAATATTGAAATCTTCACAAAACCCCTTCTGATCTACAAACGAAATTACTATTTGAGTAGATATTTTTTTAATTTAACCACAAAATTCTTAAAGATTAACACATAAATAGAAAGTACTAAACAGTTATATCATGGATATGGTATAAGAACTTTTGCGATTACACATTTGTTCCAGGACCTACATTATCAATGACTGATTGGTATCATCACCCACCTTAGGATAAATGGTAGCCGATTGCCTAATTAGAAGCTACCTAGTATTACACCAGATAACTTGAAGCTATTTTCATAAAAGAATTATGACAGAATCCCCAGGATATATTGTATCTACCCGTCTTTTGTAGTTTACGAAGCTTGAAACAATGACTAGTAGAAGAATCATAATACATTATTCTTAAGTAATTATGAATAAGGTCATTCAAAAGATGTTTAACCCATTAACTTGAAGGTTTAATGATTTTTTAAAAAGTCACCTGATTACAGGTCACAGAAATTTGGCATCACCTAATAACTTGTATTGCCATTTTTTTAAAACAAGGTTGCCATTTGACACAAAAATCAATGATCATGCTTTTAGTAGAATTTAATGTAGTTGTTAAACGATATGTGGAATACTTAAACAGTAGAGCAAGTCAGTTTTAAGTTTTATTTCACATTACCACTATGCTATCACTTTCTAATAGTTTATAACTTGGTGGGATGGTTATTCTAGAGAGACCTGATAAGGAGACTAGATTAGTAATAATCCTTTACACTTCGTAACGTGGCCTAAGTTTCATTTGATGTCAAACACACATAGGCATTTTGTGAGCACTTTTTTATTTGCCAGTCCCACAAATCTAGAGCCCAACCGCTGGTGATAGAAATTCATCGGTAAAGGTGAGGTGTACTTTATTCGAGGCTGACCTTCTCTAACATACTCTTTCCGTTGTGAGAGGGTAGTATCACTGTTAATACTGGTTGTCTAGGGGAAAAAGCCCACTGGTGTCACATCTCTATACAGTTGAAAGAATATTAAGTTAATGCTCTTAGGCGTATGAATCAATCGCTGTTCACCAGCTACCATGGGACTGCATCTCCTTACGATGCTCCACTGCCTTGTGGATCAGACCTTTAGGTCAAAGGCTCCGGGTGTGACCCCTGAGAAAATTACCCACTTTAATTTTGGCACCTTGGCAGTATTACAGCCCTCTCACAAATCAAATGAGATTTGTGTGGAGCATATATATCGGGTGCCCCTTTGTACCAATATTTATGTGATCAAATAAATAAATAAATAAATAATAATGTGACTAGCCCATTACCTTCCAGTCACTCGGTTTTCATCCATTAGTCTTTACTTACGAACTCACGGAGCAAATTCGAACAAAGCCTAAATTTATTATGTCTAATATTGACTATTTTGATGAAGTATTAGTTGAATGGCTAGCAGCCTAATCTTTAATTTACAAAGTAGCAATATTATCAACTCTAAGAAAAGTTAGTTATACAGATATCACTTATTTTCTTTTCAATCAATTTGTAGTAAAACATGACTTTTTTCTTGAGGTAAATGATGTGAACATTATCGTTATTCTTTCTCTTTGATATTGTTATACAAGAGTAATCGGATACTATCAGTAACATCGTCTTATGGGAGGAAACAAATCAGCTTCCAGTTGAAGAGGGAATTAGGAAAACACGTTGGAAGTGGTGGATAGGACATACATTAAGGAAATCACCAATGTGCATTACAAGGCAATCCCTAACTTGGAATGGTGAAGGGGTGCGGAAAAGAGGAAGGCCAAAGAACACATTACACCGGGAAATAGAATCAGATATGAAAAGGATGAATAACAACTGAGAATAACTGGAAAGGATTGACCAGGACAGAGTTGGATGGAGAATGGTGTTGTGCGGCCTTTGCTCCTCGACGAAGGTTGACAGGCATGAGTAAGGAAAAGTAAGTAATACAAGAATAATATCGAGACTGACTCTGTGTTATTATGTAACCATGACCGAATGACTTTTATGTAAACGGGATAAAGCAATATGAAACAAAATAAAAACTGGTTAGTACTCAAGATCATAAGATATATCTACCCTTAGATACAGACTACTTGGTTGATGTCCGCGTGACTATCGTAACCAATGGTTGGAGACTCTAGAAGACATGGCTCAGAATCCATCACAATGGCGTCGATGTATACACTCTTTATCTTCCCTTAAACTGTGAGATTAAAATTGGTTCATAACTTACTTATATACAACCTATCTTTCATATACTACCACCACTAAATTAACTATTTCTATGAATCCGGTGTTCATCTTGTTGTGCTAACGAGGTATGGGAACTTGGACCGTTGCATATATGTGCCCGGTCCTACATTGTAGCTGACTGACTGACTGACATTTAGTTGACTAATGATTCATTCCATAAGGAAAATATACAAACATACTACTTCGTCGATGCGAACGAAATGTCAAGAATAAAAGTGTCAATATGAGTAACTACAACATAACTCTCAAAAAATTTGTATTCTAGGTGCTTTTGTAAAATAAATGCTACTCTACTGGTTCACAGTGTCATTGATTGACTCTATGTGGTTATTAGATGACCTGAATAATTAATCACTATATTACCTGATCAAATTTTAACCGTTACACTTTACTAAAAA